CCATACTACTTAATTTATTCAAAAAGACAGAAATGGAGGGAGAACTTCCAAATTCCTTCTATGAAGCCAGCATCACTCTAATAGCAAAGCCGGGTAATGATACAACCAAAAAAGAAAACTATAGACCTTAATGTACATAGATGCAAAAAAAATAATCAATAAGATAACTTGCAAACCACATACAGACACACATCAAAAAAATCATCCACCATGATCGAGTCGGCTTTATCCCAGATATGCAGGGATGGTTCAAAATGCATGTCAATAAACCTCATAAATCATAAATAGGCTCAAAGACAAGAACTACATGATCATCTCAATAGATGCAGAGAAGGCCTTTGACAAAATTCAACATGCATTTATGTTCAAAGTCCTAGAGGGAATTGGACTGGAGGGAACATACCTCAACATAATTAAAGCCATATATAACAAACCCACAGCCAACATCATTCTAAATGGAGAAAAACTGGAAGCATTCCCACTGAAATCAGGAACCAGACAAGGCTGTCCACTATCTCCACTTCTAACATAGTGCTTGAAACTCTTGCAAAAGCAATAAGACAAGAGCAGGAAATTAAAGGAATAATAATTGCAAGAGAAGAGATCAAATTATCCATTTTTGCACATGATACGATATTATATCTAAGAGACACCAAAAATTCCACAAGAAAACTCCTAGAAATTATTAACATGTTCAGTAAAGTGGCAGGTTGCACAATTAACCTACAAAAGTCTGTAGCCTTTCTATATACCAATAACAAGCAATCAGAGAAAAAGCACATGGAAACACTCCCCTTTATAGTAGCTGCAAAAAAAATAAAGTATCTCGGAATAAACCTGACCAAAGACATTAAAGAACTCTACAATGAAAATTTTAAATTTTTAAAGAAAGAGATTGAGGAAGACATCAGAAGATGGAAGGACCTCCCATGCTCATGGATTGGAGGAGGGGGATTACTATACCAGATTTTAAGCTGTATTACAGAGACATAGTCATAAAAGCAACATGGTACTGGCACAAAAATAGACCCATGGATCAATGGAACAAAATTGAAGATCCAAATATGAGTAAATGCAATTTCAGACACCTGATATTTGACAAAGGGGCCAAGAATATTCACTGGAGGAAAGACAGCATGTTCAGCAAATGGTGCTGGCCAAACTGGATCTCCACCTGCACAAAAGTCAATTCCAAATGGATCAAAGACCTCAATGTAAAGCCTGAAACTCTGAAACTGTTAGAAGAAAACATTGGAAAAAACCTAAAAGATATATGTGTAGGAAAGGATGTTCTAAACCGGACATCAATTGGTCAGGAAACAAGGTCAACAATTAATAATTGGGCTCAAAGACAAGAACTGCATTAAACTAAAAAGCTTCTGTACATCAAAGGAGGAAACCAGGGAAATAAAGAGAAAACCCACAGACTGGGAGAAAATCTTCACCAGCTACACATCCAACAGAGGTTTAATATCCAGAATATATAAAGAACTCAAAAAACAGAGAATCAAGACAAG